ATGATAAAGAGGCAATTTGTATGTTAAATCTCAGCGGTTAACTTGATAAAGTAATCGCTTTACATCAGCCTTTAAATAACTCAGCTTTTGAAACACCCCTTTATTTATTGCTTATCATTATTTTACTGATGTTAATTTTGTTCTTTGAGGAAAGAGAACCTTTTTCAGTTTCTATCACCTTCACATGTAAACTAAGTAAAGCAGTTAAGAGAGATTTAGAGGTATGAGTCTACTCTCTGTGCTAAATTGTAATTTTATAATACGATACGTGCTTGGAAATATTGTTCATTGCTTACCTAATGATGTTTGTCAATATTTAATTAAAAAAAAGAATTAGGTGAAACTGTCATTTAACTGAGTGAAACAGGTTTTCAGCACCTAGTGAACGATAGCTGATCCAAATAAAGATGTAAAATGTACTAATTAAATAATAATAAAAGTTAAAAAATGTTTTAGACTTACGTTTGATAAAACTGTATGATTATTATCATTTTTGCAATATAGGCTACTTTACAAACATTACTTCAAATAATTAAATACACCGTAAGTTGATTTTTTTAAGTTCTTTCGAAACAGAAATAGATACAAATACATAATAGAAACTCAATTCAAACTAAGCTTAAGAAAATAAACTATAGTTTTCCCATGTATTACTACAAAGAGTGGTTGGTGCTAGTTGAATGTTTTTATCCTAAAAATAGTTAGGTTCCAGAGGTAAGGTACAAGAATCGGTTTGAAGTATGTTTTTAATTTTAACTGAAGAGGGATTAGATTTACCTTAATTTATTCACATCTGGAACAAATTTAAAACGATTCTGAGGTTAATAAGATCAGCAACTTTTATGGAATAAATTACGAGACTCAAGGGCCAAACCAGACGCGGAAACACTTGAGATAAATTTGTAACTGTGAGATTACGAAATGATATAAATTAATTTATTGTTTTTGTTCCTACGATTTAGTGAGCAATTCCAAAACAATCGTTATGACTTATTTAGTGTATATGAATAATAATGGTTACGGTTATGGTAATGGGCTATAATGGTTTCAGGATTCATAAAAAGACTATTTTAAAATTAGTTATTAAGTTACAAACAACTTACAGTTGACAGCCTGCAAAATTTTACAGTTGAAATGTTGCGGATTTTAGTACCGGTAAAAGGTGTGTTACATTTATAACGTTAATATTATTACAAAAAACTATTTTTATATATTATTCACTCTCTTGATCTTAATGTGTTCGTACAGAACCTATGAACAAAAATAACGGCGAAGTATATCTCACCAATGGTTATTTATTTATGAAATGTATTATTTATGAGTTTTTTTTTATGTATGAATCACATACTCAAAATCTATGAATTACAGGCCTTGGAATATAACACCTCAGCTGTTTAATATAGTTGTTGTAAATATAATTTTCCCCATTTTTCAACTATATCTAAAAGAATTGTTCAATTATATATAATTTGAGCTGCACAAGGTGTCTATGCGATCAAAATCATTTATGAACCCCAAAACAGTATAAAACACTAAACACACAAATGCTAGGATTCCAGTGACAATAAAAGTTTTGTAAATTTTTATTGAATTTTATTTCATCTTCGTCCTACTAATAAAATCCAATAAATAATGTTGCAAAAATTAATTTTCTTTTTTACAGGGCAATACGTTATTGTTTATAGATTAATTTTTATTATTTTTGTATAAATATACACTCTAAAATATACATAAAAAAACACACACAATGAAGGATAAAACCAATAAAAGCTGTGACTTACTACTGATCAGTCAATTATTGCCTCACACATTAAGTTAAACAAAATGTATAACAAACTAAAGAAAAAACACAAATATTTTGACTAATTTCAAAACATTCTGTATTTAATTTTGGATGATAGAGACACTTCTATGATGTATCAACTTCTGGGACAACACTGCATGGATTTACCAAATATATCAACTTTTGTAGGGTCGTAGGTCCCCAACAAAAGGTGTTAATAACATGCGTTAGACTGCCTCACGGGTACTACTAGCCGAAGACAAAGAGAAAATGATAACATGTGTTTACTGTGTTCGGTGCAAAATGTGGAAAAAGTAAAACCTGCCCGAAAAAGACTATTTATCTGAAGCCTGCGTATTATTTTAAAGGTCCCAGGATTAATCAGACTGTTATAATATATACATAATTTGTATTTCTGGTAAGCCACGAAAATGCTTCTTAAATGTTCTAATCGGACAATAGCATAAACGGACAAATATTTCAATGCATTTTAAATTGAAAAAAAAAAAAACTAAATAAAGCACATATACACCGTTTCAACAACAAACACCCTCAAAACAATTTAAACTTCTAATGACAATGCTCTGACAAAACCGATTGAAATCTCAGTATTTCACAACATTATTTATTGTGTAGCTTATAGGTTCCAAAATCCTCACTTCCAACATCAAATAGTTTCATTTTGCCAAACCGTAACCAAAAAGAACTCCGGGATCGATATCAGCTTTAGTTAGCTTAAACAAATTGAGCCAATCTGCATTTTAAATCAGGGATTACCTTTGACATATCGTTGTTCTCGCTTTGCCTTTGAGTTTATTGTAAGCTGTTAAGCAGAGGGGAGATAAAATGGGAAAATCTGTCGATTTTGTTAATTTGTACCTTTAAATACAACAATCAATACATCGTGTTTACTTTCACTGAACCACCTATACAGGGTGATTGATATAAGACTCACAGCTGTTTTATTCAAAAGTTATAAGAGCTATAATAAAGTTTGGTTGTAACTGCCTTGGATTTTTTTATGTAAAAAAATGTTGGTCAAGTAAAAAATAATTTTAGCGACCATTTTTCCATTATGGCCACTAACAATTTTTTTCGGAAGACTCTATATTTTATGATTAGGAATAATGATGATTTAGAAATTAAATGAAACTTAAAACATTTTTATTCCTGGCATTTTGCTCTAAAGCTACTAGTTTAGGAGTTTCAGTGTTTTAACACTAAAAAAAAATAACTGGCGGTGTACATTCTGCGTCATGTAGCTCCTAAACAATTAAGTTAAGAGAGAAGATGGTAGAAGTTAAAAAGTCCTAAAATTGCATCTACATTCTAAAAAGACCATCAATGTTTAACACGTTACAACTAGTATATAAGTATATCGTGTACGCAAGAAGATGCTAGTTTTTTGCCACTTGGGTCACAAAAAACTTACAGATTGTAAAAATGGTAATGGTTTCACTTAGAAACACAATGGTTTTCTACTAGTGTAGAGCTATCGTTACTTTCAAATCAAGATTCAAGTGTTGCGGCAGAGTAAATAGCCATAAACTGTAGGAGGATTCGCTACAGGAATGCAAAATATCCAGGCTTAAATGGTTAAAGAATCAGGGTGTTTATAGGCAATAAACAATACATTCTATTTCTTCAACCATAGCAGTATTCAGAGCGGACTGTAAACATCTCAAAGCTTTTCTTTTATATTTATTTTAGATAATTTTTAGGGTTCAAGAAGAATAAAAAAACAATGATTGCTGTAGAATTAAATAGTTCCAGGAAAAAACTGGAAAACTAGAAAAAAGATTCTAAAATAATGCTTATTACGAAAATAACAATATTGGTTGGCTAAGTCAGTGGTATTGTCTACAGTACAAATCCTGCTATATCAGTACACGATGCACCAGGGTGTCATTTTTGGTGTGGCACAACATGCTATTGTGATCTCTATCTGTCCTCAATATGAAGTTAAACTGTTTTCTACCGTTTATAAGAGTAATATGTGTCTGATTTAACATTACATATTGGTTTTTGCAATTTAAAACAAGGTAAACATTTTTAGGATAGAAAATGTTTATCAAACATACAACATTTTTAATCCTTAATTTGTTAAGCAAAGCATAATCAATCTGTTCACTTCTACATCGCTATGCCAATCAGCCGTCATTAGTATTCACAAATACTCTAAGATGTTCAATAAGCGTACTTAACTGCAGGCCTTAAAACCTCGAAAGGGCGATGCTAATAATTGGTTTTTAATTACAGACCTAATTAGAGACATCGACGGTTTTGACAACTTAGGATCTTAAATCATACTTTACCCGTGTTTAGATTTGAATCAGACATCATTAAGAGCTATTGGAGATCTATAAACTAAGAAAATTAAAAACCAATTGAATTTATTTTTGAAAATACTTTTCTCGATGTTTTTTCTTTTTATGAATTGTATATTGAGATTAATTTTATATTAGTATTTATATTTCAAATTTGATTACCGAACTTTTTTCTGCTCAAAACCAATTTATGTTTTATTGGTAAACCTATTTAAAATGGGCTATTAGCTATACAATTAATAGACATCTTTCACTTAAAGACTACATTATCATTTTGTACCATTAGGCCCCTATTAGCCGTGAGCAACATGTGGCGCAGCTAGTGGAGCCGCCGGTGTCGGACGTGTAGAGGGGCATGGAGTCAAATGGTGCCTAGAGGTGGCTGTGCTATTAGCCGCGGGGAGACCGGTGGCGCCGCCGAAAAAGCTGCCCGAGGTGTTGCCGGGAGTCATTTTGCCCGGCAACATGTGTCACGACCATTTTAGTGTCCAGGAAGTCGGGGGGCATTGCAGTATATGGAGCCTATTGGCCGTGGGCAACATGCGACGCCACTGAACGCGGTCGCATGCACTATTAACGTGAAAACGAAGCCTGTCACACAGTCTACATCGTGGTTTGAGTCGATTGAGACGTGCCTCACTATATTGCTGTTATATTCATTAGTGACTTCGGTTCACTTTGTTTACCAGTGACCTTTTTAACTTCTTTCCTTCCTTTCATTCTTTCCTTTTTGTGTCATTAGCGTTATTAGTTGTCTTTAGTTTAGATAAACAATGTCCAGTGCTAATAGTGACGTGCAAATTGTGGATGCAGTCACTCAACGTCATGTTTGACACTAGAGTGTTGTGGTGAATTCCGCTGTTTGAGCGAGCTACGAATGTGTCGCGCGACTAGTGTCCAGGTTCCAAAACGCTGTGGGCCACCGGCGGCTCCACCGGCGGCTCCACTAGCTGCGCCACATGTTGCTCACGACTAATAGGGGCCTTTAGACTTCCCTTCACCCATTTTGAAACCACTTTGGCAATAAAACATGTAAGGTCTTAAAATACCAAAATTGATTAAATTCTTAAAACATCAACCATTTTTCAGACTTCCCTTCCCCATTTTGAAACCACTTTGGCAATAAAACATGTAAGGTCTTAAAATACCAAAATTGATTAAATTCTTAAAACATCAACCATTTTTCTATAAACGTAATGTCATTCAAAATGAAATTCTACACATCTAAAAAAAAAAAGAAATACTACATATAAAATAACATTTCATTCCTTTAGGCTGGTGGCCGCTTTTTACAGCGCAGTTTTCCCGTCCACACATACCTTGGCCTGGAACTTTTAAGTTAAACAATTAGTTTATTCTAAGAGAAGTAGAATATCTGCCAAATTTTGCTAACAGAACGCAAACCAAAGGCTTTCTTACTATGGATTCGTAATCCATCACAAAGCCACCTAAACAACCAAAAAAAATTTAGTACATAGCTTGTTTATAGGGATAATGTCCATTGATCACAAGGGGTCTTGGGGTTTTAGGCTGCTTTCAAAGAAAAAACTTCTAAAGGACTCAAACTTAGACTAAAATTTAACTAGAAAAAATAATTTACATTTATTCTGAACAAAAATATGATATATTTACATGGTTTTTCATTTTATAAGAGTTATCAGTGGCAAATATTTAAACAGAAAAAGACGTAAAATTACAATTGATCCAAAACCTTGCAATAAACATAAAAGCGCAATATTTTACATAATTCACACAACAAAGCCCTGATCCATCTGTTTAACAGTGCGCATTGTTAACAGGTGATAAGGGGGTGATATTTACACCATTGTCCTTCTACTACAATGGATTACCCTAGAGAACAGCACACTGCAATGCGCTAGTGTTATCCGGAATAATATCTTTAGGAGGTTTACTCGTACTTTTTAGCTAAACTAGATAATTATAAAATCCAACAAATCACTTATGATTGTCTATAAGTTATTTAGTTGCGGTTTTATTATAAGGGCAATTGTAATTATTTATTTGTAGGAGGGATTTAAACTTGTAGTTTCAGATCAGATTAGGCCTACCCGTACAGCTGTAATACCTTAAACTTGTAGTACCGCTGTTAACGGCTTACTCCCAATAATACTAATAACTTCCATAATTATGTAGAGTTAATTTGCAGATTGAATTCCAGGGTCAGAATCAGCTTTTGCTCATGTTCAAACACTTTTTAAAGTAGGTAATTTTGTTTCAGAATCGTCAGAAGTGGAGTTGTAAAAAAACCCTATACTTTGGATGTAAGTTAGTATCGTTTGGAAACAGTTAAGTCTAGTAAGTACGGGGTACCAGTGAATAAATAAATAGGATCATGATTGTGCTTGTGAGTTGTATTACAAAATGATCTACTGTTTGAAGACAAAGTTTTGGAACTTAATTTTAAAATATTAAATTTCACAAATTTAATCAGGAAATATGTTTACTCACAAAGGGAACTTAATATTTATTTCGTAAGCTGTGCTTGCGCTACTTCAATTTCTCCTTTACGGGTTATTTTTACAAAATTGTTTAACTTTTGAGTTTACCAACTCTCGATCTTTTTAAACCTACTTGATCTACAATTTGTTCACTAATAGCATAACTTTTAATATTCAAATGACTAGAGTCTTCGAGGAAATTAAAGATCAACACAGCTTGGCCATTCTTGATGGATTCATCTATATGGTAATAAGTCATTTTACTGATCTCACCTCCTTAGCGGTTTCAAGGGACCTTTGCTGAAGTATAAGACCACATTGATACATCATTCGTTTTGCATATAACAAAATTTGATTTGGTATTTATTTTGAAGTTGGTGACTGCAAAATTCCTGGATATTAGTTTCAGAGCTAAAACATTTACTTTAAATGTTCACGACACATTTTACTTAGTCATTGAACGGGTTTTACGTATGATCTTCTTTACATGTTATAACTATAATATACACATCAACAAATGGCCTAGAGTATTTAACTTATTGGTTATTAGTACTACAAAATATATACTATTACTGCTCTTATTTCAGCACAATGCAATACATTTTATTGAATTAAAAATTACAAATTGATGGTCTGATTTCATTAACGTGTAGAAAGATTATTTGGTCCTCTTTAAAAAACCACAGAAATATTAAACAAATATGAACATCTAAATCAATCAAATCAAATCAAAATTAAATCAAAATCTGTTTTATTTCAAAAAATGTTTACAATATATATATATATATCATATATATACATATACATATATACATACATACATATATACATATATATACATATATATACACTACATATACATATATACATATATATACATACATATATATATACATATATATATGTATATATATACATATATATATGTATATATATACATATATATATACTGTATACATATTAAATACGAATTAATAGTCCCACATAGGCCCGTACAAGACCTGTGCGCGGGACGAGCTCTCTTACAAATTAGAAATAATCTAAAAATTAAAACTAAATTAATCAAAATACTATTTACAGCTAAGCTATGAGACAACTACAGGAACAATAGTTCAAAGGTTGGCTTACCCTTGAACCATTTTCCTATCAACCAACGTAGTCAGGTTGAAGTTAGTTATCGTGTCTTATGTCGACCTACGTCACTGTATGTGACATCACATATATTAGGGTCATGTTTACAATTCGCGTGCATATATTGAGTAAAGAAAATACTTTATGTTAAGCCCCAAGAGTAAAGTAAGAACAATCCCCTGCTTACGTATTATGTGATATGTTTTGATTTATTTAGTTTACTTGCTATCTAAATTAGATTATCGGAATTAGACAGTTTTTACATTCCAGTAAAGTATAAAAATAGTAAATTAGAATTGTTTTGCTGCAAAACACCTTAACAGTAGTCAATTAAAGAGACAGTTGGACAACACAGGAATGCAATATCCTGTCGGCCACGTTGGTCAGTAATTGACTGACTTTATTGACGTTGTTTACAAAACTCTGTAAAAGTGTTAGCCCTAACAGTTGTTTACTACGAATTTGTGTTTGAATAAAAAGTTTAAAAAAACCTGAGTGTTTATGAATCAATAATGCAAGGCTAACTCTGCTCATACTTAACATTTCAAAATTCTTTTTAATTGCATTATAAAATTGCGTTTGAAATATCTGCCGTTATTTTTAACTTTCTTTTGTCATCAGCTTGAAATAATTAAGTAAATCTGGATTTTTTCTTCAACATAACATTTATTGTTACTGACTGAAAAGGTTATAATTTGGTATTAAAGTAATTTTTCTCAAAATCGTTCAGCCCCAAAAGCATTACAGAAGCGAATGGAACCCATAATAGTCGATAAGGAAATTGTTTTTATTTTAGATTTTTACTAAACAACTATTCTCATAAAGCAACACATATTTCTTATCTACAAAGTATCTATTCTGTACACATTTGTTCTCTCAGATCAATTCCTGTTTTGAAATTATGAACGTACAATGGAATACATAATACTTTTAAATTCTTTCACTGGTAAGTGGAATCATGATAGTATTGTAACAATATGTATAAGTCACAATATCAAGTGACGATTTATAAAGTGCATAGTGAGAAATATGTTACAAAAAATATTTTATTTATATACACCGTACTTGTCAAAACATAACAAACATTGTTTTCATACGCAATATTTGTTTGATATGCACTGATAATCAAATTGACCACGATACCAACTTTATTATTGGAGAAGTTTGAAAAGGAATTTTGATCTTGGCAACTTGTGGTTATGTGAAATACACATTTGGGTGATGGTACATATCTTATACACTACACTAATAATATTTCGCTTATGTTTTCTTCATGTGCTTTCAACTTCATAATAATTTATTGTTATCACACTGTTAAGTGAAAGTACCATTTATCAATATAACGGCATTAAAATATTCATTGCAATACCTATATCAAAATTATACAAACATAATTTATTGCAATAATCATACAGATCTAATTATAATTCAATTAGAGAGTCACATTCATCGATAAGTAATATTAAATCTAATAATATTTTTTTACAATTTTGTCCTTAGTCACTTAGCGATTTGAAAACTTGAGTATCACCATAGACAATGGTATCACCATTGACTTACACAGACTATACACTATACACTTATAAATGTTGACAGGGAAATATATTCTTTTTACAGAGTTAATGGTTTCGGTAACAGGTTATGGTCGAATCAACAGTTACTACTATGCAAGTACTAATATGGTTTACAATAGTTAGTCTTAGTGGTAAATTTCAAAGGAGTGATTTGATAAGCTTTTTTTATTTGAAGGAGGCCTAGTAAAGAAGTACAGAGTTTCTTAAGCTAACTAGGTCCTTATTAAAGGCCTTAATTGGCCTAGGTATTTTCGTGATATTTTAAACCGATATTTAGGTGGAGGTTTTTTTTTGTTTTTCTTTCTCGGAGGACCAAAGGCACCAGTCTGGGATTGTTTTCAAATTACTTCAGGCAAGACCTATGAGTTGCGGCATTACCTTTTCACATATTGGTTTACCAATAGTAAGAGATGTGTTAAAGGTTATGTTACATCGCATATTGTCCTCGAGTAAACAAAGAAGAAAGGTACAACACAAGAAACATGACTGACAAACACCACCAAGTAAATAAACAACAGGGAAACAAAAGCACAATATTGTTCTCCAATACTTACAGCTCTGCGTATAAGTACATCATACGTACATTATACCTAACATTACTCACTAAATAATTGTAAAACATTAAATTAATAACCATAACGTTATACTACCAATACTACCAATGCGTTATACTACAAGTACTAATAATAGCCTTTTTTATGCTCTGCCTGGAAGTAACTCAGCATTTTGTGGAGCTTTCGTCTGGATAGGTTTACAAGAGCAAGATGAAGGCATCGACAACTAGGAATTCCAAACAAAATAGATTCTTAATACTCAATTAAACTTTGCTCTTTAAAAAAATTAAGGCTTATATTTAAAGTATTTCTGTTATGAAT